ATAGGCTGTTATTTCTGCAAAAGGAGGATCTACTAAATATTGATGTAATTTTTCTGTTGGGGGGCCCAAATTTATGCACCTGCCTACTTTTGTTTAAGTAATTATTGCACACTTTCTGTAAATCCTATAAACTTCATTTCATTTCTTAAATATCACTGTTTGTTTGCTATATGATATATTTAATTGAAATTGCTGTTCCGAACAACCAATGATCTATAAAGGAAAATCTTGGAAAAATGATCAGGGATGCCCAAACTTTTAAAAGACACCTGATCACATTTGACCAGGAGATTTTAAAGAGTCCTTACGGTGCCTTTGTGTTGTGATGAATGAGGTAATCCTCCAGACTGCCGTAAAGCCCAGATCAGCAGCAGAGACCTGCGGAGATGGTCGCCCTGTTTTTACAGGGGCGACCATCTCTTTTGTGAATCACTGACGTGGAGCCACAGTGGCCATCAGGAAACTGTGCTCCTGGGAACTTTTACAGCAGCAGGATATTTTATAGCCTTTTCCACAATTGAGTCTCAACACGTTTCTATCTCTGAGCCTTGTCTGCAGCTGCTTTGACCTCAGGCCTGGTGTTTACTATGATGTGCATCATGTGTATGTTAATGGTTCCGAGACCTTGTGTGGAGAGATGGAAGGTCAAAGAAATATATATATATATATATATACAACCTGAATATATATCTAATGTTTTCTTGTGTTTTGTCAGTATGGTTAAAGTGAATATTCAGAATGAGATGAGACTAAACTATTTTATTCCTCCTTTATGCTAGTAAAACTAGCAGTTAAAAACTAGTTAAAAAGGCAGTGATTTAAACAGTGTGTTTAAGTCTTTCCATTCTACTCCAAAGCACAAACACACTGTCAAAAGCTAGCGTTAGCTGCTGAGATGCATATGCGTTGGAGCAGAGCTGCTGACAGTGAGCAAAGAAACTCTTTACACAGAATATTAAATGTTATGTCCACATCACAAAATGTCAGCACTGATGCTTATTAACTAGAATGATGGCACATTCTGGTGCAATTTCGATTTCAGTGACTCATCAAACCAGTACCATAATGTTCAAAAGGCCGGAAGTGTATCACCTGGCCTTTACAAACTCACACTTAATACACAATCAGTTGTAGTGAGCATTTGTGTCATATTAGTAAGTAAAACATTAACAATGCAAACATAGTGATAATGACTAGTGATTATGTCATTTTTTAACAAGAGCTGCAGCTAGATTTTGAAATACACAACTCCTCTCCAGTGTGACTGGTAGGTAAAATTCTACGACATCATTTGGAAACCTGTAGATCAACTTGTAACAACACTTGACCAGCAACTGTGCAACGTGTGGTCTGTCTTGATTGTAAGCTGTTTAACATGTGTGAAATATGTCTCATTTTACCTGGGTCAGGATAAACAGCCGTTAGCCAGATGTCCGTACAGAGCATAACCGTGGTCGCACAGCCAAACATTTCTCCATTATGATAACTGACGACGCATTGTTGACGAGAGAATAGACTGATAAGTGATTGGAATACACGTAATAAAAGCTAAAGACGTACCGGTCTGCTGTTATGGCCGTGGAATCGCGCCCGTGAATAGACGCTGTAGTTCAGCCTGAGCTGAAAACGCTGGACCGCAGCACTAAACACACGCTAGCAGGTTAACTAGCTAGCCGCCAAAAAAAGTTTATCGAGAACAAAACTAACGCACTACTGTTCATAGAATGGCTGAACATCACATACAACTGCTTCATTATGTAGTTTAAACGTAAAAAGTTTGTCTGTGTTAAGTTAGCGTTCTCCTTGGCACCCACACACGGTCGACGACGACGACCAAATGTTTGTTTGAAAAACAAGAGCATACCTTTCCGGTATAATTTAAAAGCGCTTGTTACGTATACGCATGCGCAAACCAGGGAGGGGAAATGACGTAAATTTAAATATTTATGTGTATCCATCTAGTAGGTAGTAGGTTTCAAGTGCAAATTCTATATATTGAATTTGAAAAGTCACACAATCTTTTTTATTGAAGAAATTGCGACATCCAAAGATATATTTTTAATTACTTTTTAAGCAGAAAAATACATGTTTGCACATTTTGAGACATAAGTATTTTTTACAGTCACTTTTTAAACTTTTAAAAAATATTTTTCTTATTTATTGATGAATTTGTGACATTCATTTTTTGTAATTATTTTTTCTGGCACAAATATACACATTTGCATTTTGGAACAGTTTTTCACAAATGTCATACAACAGTGTGTCTTGGTCAATTTGTGACATCCAAAGATATACAGAAATATACACCTTTGAACATTTTGGGAACTAATTATTCATTTCCAATCACTTTTTAAATTTTTTTTGGACCGTTTGTTTAATAGTTTTCTTTCTAAAACTAGCTTAATCTCAGTTTACTTTAATTTTCTTTAATTTTCTGTTTTAAGTGTAAACGTACACATAAAAATTGTGGTAAAAGACTGTGATGTTCTGATTACAAATACACACATATGATTTCTAACCCAGTCATAAACTCTTTGGCTCCCGACCCAGTCTTTGAAAATGTCCATAATGAACAGCTTTGGAGAACAGCTGCTGGGAGAAGAGTCTCTTCAGCTGAGCCACTTCCTGAGACAAACAGCTGACCTGTGACCTCAGACTCATGTCCTCTGTTCTATACCTCCCGTCTCTGGAGTTACAATCGTCAGAAGACAGAACTTGGTACTGCTGCATGACTCCAGCATCGGCACCCTCTGTGGACCACCCCACCTGCTGGTGGTCCCTCATCTGTATATTTGGCATCACAGTTGCTACAGGCGGCTCACTGTGTCTGTCAGCAGATGTGGGAGGAGTTTCTCCTCCGTCAGAGCAGCTGCTGGGGCCTTTGAAGCGGAGTTTGTGGGGTAAGTTCCTCAGACCCTCGCGGGTCTGATGTTTGGTGATGCACTGAGCCTCGTTGAACTCTAGAAGACACATGTGGGACTGATTGCCCACTTGTTCTTCCACCAGTTCTCCAGGTGAAGGCCCAAGTTCACTGGATGTGTCCTCAAAAAAAACAGGGCTCCCCAAGTTTGAACTACAGGAGGTAGAAACACACGACTCTTCAGAAACACTGTGACTCACCACAGGGGGAGCTGCTCTCACCCCATAGATGAATGATGGTAGAGCCTGGTGTGGATAATGGAGGTGGACTTGTTGGGCAGTGTTCTTCTGTGGTGTGTTCAGGAACGAGGGTCCATCATTGTGGGTTGGATAGAGAGCACCAGGGGGCACAGAGAGGGGCAGGATGCTCACGTTTGAAGAGTCTTTGACCAGACCATAGCGCAGCTTGAGGGCCAGCAACTCAGCCCTCAGACGGGCATTTTCCTCCAGCAGACTCAGAACCCTCCCCTCCAGGACCATGTCATTGGCTCGTCTCCTCTCTCTGGACCTCTTTGCTGCCTCGTTGTTTTTTCTCCTCTTGTCCCAGTAGCATTCGTCCTTCTTCTCAATGGGCATAAACTCACGTTTGCGGGATGAGATGTTGCTGCTGCTTTCTTCATCAGCGCTTCTCCCCGACTTCGCCTCAGAGTTGGAGGGTTTGTCTCGGCGTTGAAGAACAAAACTGTGGCCCAGAAGAGTTCTGGCCAGTTGGCTGGTGGAGGACAGGATGGAAGTGGCTTCATCAGAGAAGGGTCCAGCTCCAACTACAGGCCTGGACTCCAAGTTTCTAGGTGTCTCCACACGTCCTACTGACGGCAGTGACAGGTCCTTGATGATGGTGCCGACACTCTGAGCCGCCATGTTCACTTACATCAGGAAGAAAATCTATCTAGAAAAACAGTTGACAGAAGGTTATGAATGGAGCACACTTGGCACCATCTAGTGGTTAAAAAATAAATCAGAAAATCGTCTCAGAGCTGTGGCCACTTTAGCAGATGTAACAGATGTGATTTAAAACTAACTAAAACTATTCATTCATTAAACGTTAATTATTTTCCATTGAAACTTCATAAAACTATTTTGAGGACAGCATGCATTTCAGATTTTGCAAAATTACACTTAAGGTGTTCCTTAAAATATTAAGTAGATTTTGTTTCATCAAAACATCTAAAATATACAGTAAGCATGATATTAAAATTATTACATGATATACAATGCAAAAACAATCCTCTGTACTCATTTTTTAATAACAGTTCGATCATTCAATATTCAATATTTTTTTATTGAACAATGTAAAAAAATATAAATTAATTTATGTTTTTTTTTGTCAATTTAAACTTTTTTTAATTGTAACTGTTAAAAAAACCCAATTTCAGTTAAACCCACAGGTCATTTTAGGACGCTCTT